GAACCAATTCTAGGAATTACAGTGTATTCTGATGGGAATATCTGAACCAACAAACCAATATTTTAACATACATAGTTGGTCCTTTAACCAGTTAAGTTCCTAACTCGGGCGGAGCTGGGAGGGACACCAGGGTCAGATATAAAAACTCACATATAAAAGATATAAAATAAGATAAAATATAGTCTAAGTTAGTTTAAAGTTCAGGCAGTAAAGTTAGAGTGAGTTACTTCCTCTGTAGAGGTTCTGCTATATGTGACAAACTCTTCTCTAATCAAACAACCCCACTCACATATAGAAAATATGAAAATTAAATAAAAAATAAATAGTCTAAGTTAGTTTAAAGTTCCTGTAGTAAAGTCTGTATCTCATACTCCACCTCTACCTCCGTTCTTCAGTCTCTGAGCTAAAGGGCCAATAAAAAACCCTTTTTAGTGACTATTTCATTATAATTTATTAATTTATTATTTATTTATTAATTTATTTATTTATTTATCTATCTATTTATTTATTTATCTATTTTTTTATTTTTTTATTTTTTTATTTTTTTATTTATTTTTTTTATTTTTTTATTTTTTTATTTTTATATATATATAGGTTTTTGGAACCAATTCTAGGAATTACAGTGTATTCTGATGGGAATATCTGAACCAACATACCAACATTTTTACATACAAAGTCTGTCCTGGAACCAGTTAAGTTCCTCTGTGACAGACTCTTTTTTCTAATCAAACAACCCTACTCAAATATAGAAAATATAAAAGTTAAATAAAAAATAAATAGGCGATTTTTCCAACATCCGAAGTGAAATTTGATCATATATTCGACTCCACACCCGGATCACATTTCCAACATGACCTCTTAGTCATAGAAAAATATATGAAATGCAAAAATTAAGTTAAAATAAATGAGCTAAGTTGGTGTAAAGTTCCTGTATAAAGTCAGAGTGAGTTAGGGTTGGTCCTATATCTCCGTTCTTCAGTCTCTGAGCTAAGGGGCCAATAAGAACACCTTTTTAGTGATTATTTCATTATAATTTATTTCTTTTTACATCTCCTATATAAGTAATTTGTTTGATTAATTTGTGTAATTATCTACAGTATTTATTAAAGAGTTATCGTAGGTTTTTGGAACCAATTACAGGAGTTACAGTGTATTCTAATGGGAATATCTGAACCAACATATGAATATTTTAACATACAAAGTTGGTCCTGGAACCAGTTAAGTTCCTCTGTAGAGATTCTGACTCCACTCACATATAAAAAATATAAAAATTAAATAAAAAAATAAACAAACCAGGTCTCACCTCTAACGTTTTTACGCTTTCTCTGGTCTGTTGTGAGTAAAAAGTCGGTTTGTGATGTTTGT